GCGTAAAGGGAAACAAATTCAGACACAGTTCTGTTCTTGTAAAGCTTACAGTTCTAGTAGGAAGGAGAACCATCAATCAAATACTCACACGAGCAAAAGAAAAATATAAAGTGACAGGCAGCAGGAAGGTGGGGTGAATATGCTACCTAGAGGGGAAGTCTGGGAGGGCTTTCCATGAGGATGAGACTACAGAGCTGTGGCCATGAGGCCCAGGAGGATTAACATGGGGAGAGGAGAAAGAGTATTCCAGATCCAGGGAGCAGAGGGAGCAGCCCATGCCAAGGCTGTGCAACAACAGAGACCTCCGGCAAAAGACTAAGAGAAGGCCCTCGTGGCTGGGGCTGCAAAACTGAGTGGCACTGTGGGAAAAGATTAGGCTGAAAAGGGTGGGTAAGGCAAGACTACAAAAAAGCTTCATGTGGCGGGGCGCCAGTGTATGCTAGGTTCAGACTTACATTTTGAAAAAAATTGAAGACCAGCAATTGATATGATTATTCAGAGTAGTGTCTTATTTTGTGAGTGTGTATTCAGTTGGTTTTAAAATTACATTAACACACACACATAAGTAGTTCAAAATATCAAATAGTGCTGGTACCATTAGGCTTATGAAAAATGGTAGTCCTCTGACTGTCCTTTGTACCTTTCACTGAGGATCCCTTCCTCCACTCTTAACTATTCATCCGGTATTTACTACCTCCTTCCCCCTCTTTTAAACATAATATGCTTAAAGTGCTATTTCTTTTTCAGTTTTAAATACTGTTTACTTCCTACTATGGAAGCAAAGAATTTCTTGATCTTACCCCATGTCCTGCCTCACCCCCCTTACCTCTATTCTTATCCTGCCAAGAGCAAACATTCAAAGCATTACCAGCATTTCCTTTTTATTCTTCCCATATAAGAAAAAACATACTCTGACTCATTCATTAACTGAAAACTCATCAATCAGTAAGGACAGAACCATATAGTTCACAATAAATTTTTCCCTTTATGAAGACAAAAGTACCTTCACTGTACATCTACAATAAACATATTTGTAGTAGTAAAAATTTTTACCTCTTTAAATAAAAACTATTAAAATTTTAAGCTGGCATAAGAATATTCAAGAAAATCACAGTTGACTTATATGTGCTAGTTGAAAGACATAATAAAGTTATTTGTCCTAGGAAGCAAAAATAATCTTTATAAGACAAATGTCTCGGAAGACACGTTAGAAAGGTCATTAATTGATGATACTCCGTATCATCGATTGATGGAGTAATGAAACAGCCCTCTCTCATGCTGTTTCGGAGTGTGAGCAAGAAACCAAGTGGGATCCCTGTCTACCTACACGCCCTTGTTTACCTATACACTACGCTGAGTAATACTGACTCACACTTCAGTTTGAAGACCATGGACCAGAAGTAGTAGCTCTCTGGGTAATGGAATTATGAGTAATTGTCTTCCTTCCTTTCTTTAAATCCTAATCTGAGGATATGTGTGTTTTCTTCTTTTTGTTTGTTTGTTTTTTAGAGAGAGAGGAAGGGAGAGAGAGAAACATTGATATTAGAGAGAAACACTGATTGGTTGCCTCCAGTATGGATCCTGAACAGGGATCTACCCCTCAACCTTTTGGGGTACAGATCATGCTCCAACCGAGTCACACAGCCAGGGCTGTCCCTTTCTTGAATCTTTAAAAAAATTTCTTTACCAAGCATATGCTGCTTTTATGATTAAAAGTTCATTTAAAGTATATTAATGAGGCATGAGTATTAGAAGACAGAGCTGATTTGGGGTCTATTTGGGCAAGTCTAAACACCTTTTTAGAATTGGGAAGTGCATATTTTTTTTTTATCTAAAAGAAGCTGGTACTTATGGATTCCTGACAATTGAAAGTCCGTTTAGATAGACACAGATAACAGTATGGTGATTACCAGAGGGAAATTCAATAAAAAGAAAAAAATTAATAAAACTAAGAAAGTTTAGGACAAAGAAAATACCGTAGACATGAAATTCATTACCTCAATAAATGGTGCAGGTGAAAACAGAAATATAATAATCTTGGTAAGTTTTAAGGAACAGCATTTCTCAGTGTTCTAAGATGTTCCTTGGCAAAAGAGGATTAAGCGATCGAATAATTTTGGGCACAATATTCTAATCCCCTCTTAGAGCCATACAACAAATAAACAGATTATAGGCTCTAGGAAGTCCAATAGGAGCTTCATTCTTAATTCTAGCTCCACAAATTCTTAGAGTGTGTCTTACCATTAAGGACAAATTCTAGGCCAGAAGAGAGTCCAAGAAAGAATTCTCACCATGGGCTGATACCCTACACTTGATCCAGCATATCAGTTCGTTCCCACATTCCCATGGTCTCTGAGGGCTTAGCCCACATACATTAATAGAGCCTGATTTCAAGGGCACAGCTCAAGTAAGCTACCAAATAATGCTCAGAAACAGCAAGCTGAGCACCAGGCCACACGAAAGAACTTTTGAAGGAACTGTCTATTTATTGTTGTTCATTTATCTGTCTCTACCACTTATTGAGCCTAGAATTTTGTCTTATATTCATTTCCCTACTCCCAACACAGTAAAGCCTGACACTTAGTTGGTACTCAGTGAATGGGGCATCACCAAGCCAGGTAATTAAATTTTTTTGGACAAATACAGTAAGGAAATGGACTGGGCACAGGACCTAAACTTTAAGTCCTAAAGTTTACGTCGTCATGATATCAAGACTTCATTTTACTCAATAAACATTTCTGAGTGCTTACTATGGGTGGGTATTTCTAAGAATGTAGAGGTGACTAAGACACAGTCTTTGCCTTCAAGAGCTCCAAGCAGTAGATACTAGTATTAGCCATTCCCTGTTGTACAGGTTTGATCACACAGTAAGTGCCTAATAAATGCTTGTTTGAATCAAGTTCAGAAACCAAGTTACACTTTAAGTCTGGTCAAATTTGTACTTTGGCAGGTTGACAGCTTAGAGTAGGGCAGAATCAGACAGTTCTAAAGACTGCTTCAGGATGACTGACATCTCAAGTTACTAGACCCATCTTGATTATCACTCTTCTAGGGACTCCAGAACCATCCAGGAGTCAAAAATTTTTTACTGGAGCTCTAGCCGGATTTGCTCAGTGGATAGAACATCAGCCCAGGGACTGAAGGGTCTCAAGTTCAATTCCAGCCAGATAGGCAACCAATCGGTGTGTCTCTCTCACATGGATGTCTCTCTCTCTCTCTCTTCCCCCACCTTTCCACTCTCTCTGGAAAAAAAAAATTTATTTTTTCACTGGAGAAGCCCCAGAACCCAAAGGAATTTAATAGTATACACCATGACAATATTTCTAAGTATGTACTATAAAATAAAACCTTCTGAGTTCTTGAGATGATAATGGTATGTGGTGAAATAGGACTGAGAAGGGGGTTCAATAGAGCTGACAGGCCTCTGTACTGCAAGACTTCTCAACACCTTTAAACAACATGCTATGCTCCTTTTATGTACTGTCTTATTTAATCACAATGATCCCATGAAGAAAGTATTATTTTTTCCATTTTAGAGATGAGCAAGTGGAAGTTCAGAGAGGGTAAGTAATCTGCTCTAGACCACACAGGTACCACCATAAGATACAAAATGAGACTCTGAAACCAGGTCTTTCTGGCACCAAAGACTGATTTATGACGACTCAAGCAGCACTGTTTTTAATATATCATAGGGCATTAGGACACTCCTACAGGAGCACATAGCATCAACGGTTTCCCAAACTGATTTGATTAGGGAACCCTTTTAGTGAACCAGTACTTGAGACTAGCTTTCCATGTAACACATTTTGAGAAATATTGTGGGCCAAATGAGTCAGATACCCCACGGCATGAAGGAAGGAGAAGGCAGTAGAAGGCAGCTCAGAAGGAAAAGCTACTCTAGAAAGAACATTTATTAAAATTGTGCTCGCCTGGCCAGCGTGGCTCAGCAGTTAAGCATCAACCTATGTTCCAGGAGATCGAGGTTCAATTCCCGGTCAGGGCACATGACTGAGTTGCAGGCTCCATCCCCAGTAAGGGTGTGCAGGAGGCAGCTGATCAATGACTCATCATTGATGTTCCTCTCTCTCTCTCTCTCTCCCTCCCTCTCTCCCTTCTTCTCTTTGAAATCAATAAAGACGTATTTTTTAAAAAAATGTGCTCAAAGAATTCTTAATAGGAACATGTCATTTAAACTCAATTGAATAGATATAATTTTTTTACCTCCAGATTCATAAGTTCCAGCTCATGGACCATTTCTGTCAAATAACTTCTGATACTTCATTCCAATTCCAACACATTCACTTAGCTAGTTCTTTAGGATTTGTTGTAGAATTTGATTTACCTAGTAGTTCAGCTCATTATGTCATGAATTTTGATAAGGTATATTTACACTGGGAGCGTAAGTTTTAATTTGCTATGTATCTCAACAGGTCTGCAATTTGTATTTTGGGGTGAGATAATTCTTCATCATACAGGGCTGACCCAAACTTTACAGGATCTAGCATCACTGGTTCCTACTGACTCAATACCAGTAGTACTCTCCCCTCACCTCCGTCATTTGGAAAAGAAACATCCCCACAATTTCAAAACTCCATCTAGGGGAGTGGTATCACCCTGAGCTGAGAACCACAGGTTTAGAGCAAACCGGAAAGTTCAATAACACATTAATTAGAGGATAAACACCTTGCCTGACCCTGCAGTCAGTATTCTTGCAAAGAGTTCAAGATTCAACATGCCGGCTTCATTACTGCATCTCCAATGTCTCATTACACTTCTCTCTATTCTGTTAATAACATGAACAGATTCAACACAAACTGCCAAAATACCATTTTTAGCCAAGAGGGCCAAGCCTTGTGTACTTTGCCAATAACAGCAATAAAGCTGGGCAGAAGCTAAGCCCAGGATTGCATATGGTACATCCGAGGCAGCAGCCACAAAACACGAAGTCTACCTAAACAGTCTATCGTTTTGTTAAATTTGGAGTTTAAAAAGGATGCTAGTTTTTTTCTTTTTAAAATGATTTATTATCAAAAAGCTTGCTCCCTCTCATTGCTGAGTCAGTTCAGCAATGAAGCTCCACCCTTTTTAGTATTATTAGGACCGAAATAATTTTAGACCCAAACAACAACAACAAACTGACTGTAGGTTCAGTAACATATTCATGGACATGTCGATATGCATTCAGGAACACTGGTTTCATTTCTTGATTGGAATGCCAATCACCATAAAATCTTCTGCTAGAGTCACTTCTTGGAAATCTAACACTGATTCAGCTTGTTTTTTCAGTTCCACAATCCCATCTGTTTCTCCTTCTCTGGCCAAGGCAACTGGTTTGTACCTCTGACTGAAGTGAGTCAGGACAAGCCTCTTTGCTTGGCACAGCTTTGCAAATGCTGCTGCCATCTGTGGCGTGCTGTGGCCATGCTCCTTTGCTTTGTCCATCTGGGCATCATCCAGGGTCGCTTCATGGATCAACAGGTCAGCTTCAAAGCACAGCTTTACCCCTCCATCACCCACAACCCCAGAACAGTCACCCAAAATGCAGATTTTTCTTCCAACAATAGGCTTTTTTAAGACATCTTGGGGAGAAATTGTAACTCCGTTTTCCAGAACAACAGAAATTCCATTTTTCAGCTTCCCATAGGCAGGACCTGGCGGAACACCTAATGATGGAGGCAGATAACATCACATCATGGGAATGGAATTTATGACTTGTTAAGAGAGTCTGTTTTAACAGCGCAGCAAATAGCAAATGGAAAAGGCATCTAGTTCTTTTCATAATTTGTATAAATATTTTACTATATGTGGAAAATTGGAATATTTATACATTATTAAAAGTTCCGTGTTGGCAATGCCCTAGACTTAAAAAACATTTCCCAAGCACCTGTGTCAGATAAGTTTTAAGCTCTTAAGTCCCACTACAATATTATTACAGTCAAGATAACAGCCTTGATGCTCTGCTGTGCATGGGAGTAACAGTTTTGGAGAGCGCTTTATTTAATAAGCTCATCTTTGCGCAAAATTGAAGAGTCCATTTAAATAATGACAAGGTACCTACAAACTGAATAACTTAATAAAATAATCAATCTTCTTCATGTACGGGGCGGTTCCACCTTTACCAAACTGGGCTTAAATCTCATATTCATCTACAATAATACCTGATTATCACTCTGGACAGTACCTACAAACAAACAGAACATGCTTACTAATTCCAACATAGATCATGTTTAAAGTTCCCCAACATATGAGTATTTCCACAGGTTTTTAGATAATAAAAATACCTGTGGCCTAAGTTACCTTTCCTCATTATTTCATATTTTGTTTGAGCTGGGAAAGAAGAGGCTAAGTGAATAAAGAAACACACAGAAGACACCATTGTGCTTTTCAAAGGCTCTGCCCTGGCCATGCCGAGGAAGGCAGAGATGTTGGAGGTACAACAGGCCGGGACACTGCTTCCAGAGATGCTGAAGACCCCTCACGCATGAAGACCTAGCACGGAAGAGGTATGAAGCCTCAGATGGGCCCCAAGGCCACCTTTTGTGCTTGTTTCCTACTGTGATGAACCCAGGCACATAAAATGGTTGAGGCAAAGTATAATGAATACCAAATTAACTTAATCAAGGCAGAGAAGGAAAACCCTGAAAGTAACTGTTTGCAGTTGTAAGATTAAGATATGGCAAAAAATTTCAGGCCAAAGATGTCATTGAAAACATCCTTTAAGAGAAAGACATGAAAAAATAAAAGCCTAGACCTATGACAACAACCACTATCCTGCCAATCAAAATAGTGTCAGGTGAAGATAAGAAAGACTAAGAATGTGCATTAGGGGAGCTGAAGACAAAAGGATTAAAATACAGGGTGGTCCCCAAAAATGCATACACACTTTGAATAATTATTAATCCCAGTGGGACAGCTTATATATACTTGGCTTTTGCTCTGAATAGCATCTTTTGGCCCCAGGAATCTCCCTTAATAAGCAAACCTTGGACAAAGGAAATAAGTGTCAGTTTTATGCCTGGAGACAGGAAAAGGTTACTATGACACTTCTAATAGCTCAGTGAACAACAGCTTGATTGATGAGGAGACAAAAAACACTTACCGAGGTCTTTCAGTTTCTGTGCATTGAGTTTCCCTGGCCGCTTCTTCTCCACGACTGAAAACCCAAAGGAAGGAATCCGGTGAAAGAGGCGAAATGCTTTTACAACAAACTGTTCATCATCGACCAGAAGGTATGAGTTTTCTTCTGAGTCTAACAGGATAGTTCTTCCTTGCCCCTCTTTGGGAGAGCTGTCTGCTCTACTTGTGTGCGCAAATTCTTTCAGTTCTTCTGTAGGGCACTGATCAGCTGTAGGCACCAGCTCATGGACCACGTAAGGAAAGACCAACTCCGTGTGCGAGAGGTCCATGGTTTGCCAGATAAAGTCTCGAAGCCCTGCAGGGCCATAGATTTCAATGGGCTGTTTGGTGACTGTGGAGCCACTCTGCAGGCTGATTGTGCAGAGGAGGCCAGGAAGGCCAAAGAAATGGTCTCCATGAAGATGTGTGATGAAGATCTTGGTAATTCTCCCTTTTGATTGAGGTAGAAAAAGAAAATTGGGAATTTTTCCAAAATAAAGATCCATACGAAGATACTTGAAACATACATAACAACTCACATAGAAAGCAGTAAAGTGAATTTAGAATTTTACTTATCACCATAAACTTATTTTTTTATACTTTTTTCTACATGATTCCAGAAGAAAGGTTTTACTAGATGGTTTTATTAAGACTTTTTCATAAAACATCTTCAAATTATAGTGTTACAGTTTTCAGAGTATTTTTCTCTATATCCTCCTACCAAAAAAAAAAAGTTGCAATAAGGAAGTGTACCAAAATAATTCACTTAAGTACGTAGGCCTGAAGTGTCAAGAGCACCTGACAGTTACACTGCCCCCTACTGGTCCCTCTGAGAATAGCAAATATATATTTCCAGCAAACAAGTTCTCCTGGCTCCAATGGACTGGACCAGTGCCCAAACCCCAAACTGCCTTTTAAAGACTCTCTACACTGGACAGAAATTAACTAACCAAGTCAGAACCTGCTTGTCTAAATGAGGTTGACGGGGGAGGAGAAGGAAGATGAGGGAGGGAGACACAAGCAAGAGGGAAAGAGGGAGTCCACAGAGTAAGGGAGTAAAGGACAGAGAGGGGAGGAGGTGGGCAACAGACACTAGAATGCAGGTCAGAGGGCAGAGCCCCTGTGGTGTTATGTAAAGGTACATGGGCCCATCCCTTCCCTTCCCTCTGAATTAACACAACAGCTTTTTCAGTGCATACTGGCTTAGGTTGTAACTTGATTTACCTAATGGTAAACTGAATTTACTGTTGGTATGTGGCAGGATGCCACATCAGCATTTTTTTAAGATGCACCACAAGGCATTTCAAAAGTAACAATCACAATAACACATATTTAGAGGCTTCTGGTGCAAGCTCATGGCCCACCTCTTTCAAACATTTGCTACCATAAAAGAACAGAACAGTTTATTTATTGATACCGTAATAGAACAGGATAGTTGACTATAATGTGATTTGTCCTGTGATATAAAGACAAGTGTTCTCCAAGTGAGTCTCCCAGTTACTACACCAAGCCCAGGCCCTGTGGCAAGGAACAACAGAGGCTGATTTTGGACCTTGAGAATCCCCAGGAGGCATTCTAGAAGTTTCCTCAATATGCTCCTTTTTATTTTCTCTTTTTAGTCCTGTTTTTGCTGTTTTTTACTTTTAGAACCTTTGCATTTCCCCTTCCTGCTGTCCAGGCTGCCAGAGCAATTATGAGTGGACCTGAGGCCTCTGCAGACAAGAGAACTACAAGGGTGTTAAGTCCCGATCCACGCTGACCTCAAAAGTGCCACGTCAGATGTTCTGGGTCCTCTCCCTATCTACTGCAAAATAGAGCCTGACCGAGCGCCAAAACAACCTGTGAACCCAAAGTGAGTGAGACAAATAAAGTAAAAAATTGCTTCCCACAGTTATCAGTTTCAGGGAAGACAAACATTTCATTTTTCAAGAAACTTGATTTCAGAGGGAGAAGGAATGGCAACCACAATTATCAAAGGTACGAGGAAGCTATCAAATGAAGAAAGAAAAATGCATGAGTTCCCTCTTGAGAACAAGAAAGAACAAGAAAATATGTCAGCCATAGAGGAGTAGAATACTAAGCATCCTCTGATGATGCAGTTATATTTACTGCCCTAGGAAAATGTCTGCAATACAGTCCTTATATATGTTGTTCAGCTGAAAAAAAGATTACATTAAATACAGGGTTTCCATTCATGCAAAATTATACACACACATACTCCCCTATACTGTTACTGTATCTACACGTACAGAACTTTTACCTATCCGACGTGAATTTAGGTTTTTCTTATACTTTTCTGCTTTGTTTGAATTTTTACAATGAGTATGTATACTTTTTATAATTACTTTTTAAGGGGAAAAAGGAAGGCTAAGCTCAGTCTTTAAAATTATGACAGAAATAGACATGGCAAACCTATACTTGTTAATCAGATGCTTGCATATTAGGACAATGGAAGCTTGAAAGAAGTATGTTTAAATAAATACAAAGTACTTCCTTATGAAACTCATAAAATATTACTACCTCAGGAGGTAGTACAAGCTAAAAGGATTTCAATGAATCAAATAATGATAGGTCCATATTGAATTACTGAGAGAAACCAATAACCTCCTGGTTGGTGTTCACGCCCTTGAATATGAGTGTGACTGGCTTCTAACCAGTATAATATGACACAGAGATGCAATGTTATTACATTATGTTTTAAGACTCCATCCTGCCTGTAGGTTTCCCCTTTTTGTTGTTGTAAATCCTTACCCAAGGAAATTTTTTTCATTGATTTTTAGAGAGAGTGGAAGGGAGGGAGGAAGGGAAAGAGAGAAAGAGAAAGAGAAAGAGAGAGAGAGACATCGATATGAGACAGACATCTATTGGCTGCCTCCTGCACGCACCCAGGCTGGGGATCAAACCTGCGACCCAGGTATGTGCACTTGATTGCACCCGAGACGCTTTGGTGCTCTGGCCAATGCTTCTTCTGTTGAACCACACCAGCCAGGGCTGTAGATTTCCCTTGAATTTCTTTCTCCCTTGCTGGTACTACTCCAAGCTACCATGAAACAGCAATCCACATGATCAGAAAGGCCTCTAGGAGCTGTGGGCAGCCTCGGTCCTACAACTATAAGAATTCTGCCAACAACCTGAGTGAGCTCTAAAGCAGATTCTTCCCCACTTGAACATCTGATGAAACCTCAGCCCCAGCCAAGTGCATGTTAGTGACACCCTAAAGCAGAAAACTCAGATAAACCAGGCCAGAGCTCCCTGACCCACAAAAACTATAAGGTAATAAATGCAAATAGGACACTAAATGTGTAATCTGTTTTGCAGCATTAGATAACTGATACAGTATTAAATAAAAAGGAAAGACTTATCCCCATACTCAAACCTCTAGTACCTACACTTAACAGTATCTTGTTTCTATTTTAATCACCCTGCCACCTCAACCCTTGCTCTCTAAACAGTTAAATATTACAGCCTCCACTCTGTTCTGTGCCTACACTGAGAGTTCTCATGAAAGGAACACCTGTGTGACCCAAGGGACATAAAGCTTTGTACCTGCCGTCACTTCAGGGTTTCAGCACAGGACAGTATACAATTAGGGTTGAACTGTGTACACCTCAAGGCCACATGTCCCAAGCGCTGTTCATTAGTTCATTCCTCCAACTGCTCTTTTCATGACTTCCAGGTCTAGGACGTAACCGTCTGTAAGTTACAGTAATTCTTTCCTCGTTATGCCCCGGCAGTCAGACGCCTCCTGCGGGCTCTACAGGTGTCTCTCAGATTATGCCTCTTCCTCATTCCCATCCCTACTTCCTGCTTCAACACCCTCCTCTCTCCTCTCAGGTGAATGCAGTGGCCTTGAAGCTGGTCTCCCTGATGCTGTTCTCTTTCTGCCAATACATCTGCCACAGGAAAACTGTCCTAAAGCACAGATCGGACTGCCACCCCTGCTTAAACGCGTCCAGTGGCTCCTGACTAGCAATGGAGTCATAAGGCTCCAATGCCTCCGCACGCCACCGCACGCTCCAGCGGCCCAAGCTCACTTCAGCACCCCTCTCCTTCCTATCCCAGCCAAGAACCCAGTGCCCTGGATGGCTTAAGAGTCCCCAACATGTCTGGAAACTCCCTTGCTTGCTGCCCACTTTGTTGTTTGCTCCTTCAATGTCCAGGCCTACCTCTCTCCCCAGGGAAAGTTCTATTCATCACTTAGATCCTAGCTCAGCTGTTACTACTGTTACCATCTCTGGAATGTTGTCTCTAAACACACAGACACAGTCCCCCCTTTCTTACTCCAGAAGTACTTAGGAAACACCTCCATTACTCTCCTTATCTCATTACATTATGGTTGTCTGCATGTCAGTTTCCACCAACAGACCAAGAGATCCGTGGATCCTTTCTTTTAGCCACCCAACGCCATGCACTGTGTTGAGTCATAGGAATAACAACTTCAATAACAACCATTTATCAAGACCTAATGAGAGAGAGGCACTGTACTAAGTGCTGAACATGTTCACGCATTTATTGAACAGGTATTTACTAGGCATCTACAAATTACACAAGTGATCACTGAGCTTAGTACAGGGAGACAGTGCACACAAAAACAACTATTTAAGTAACATCATTTTAGATACTGATGATGCTAAGAAGTTAATAAAAATAGGACGAAGCTATAGAATGCCTGGGACAAGGGAAGAACTACTTAACCACAGAGGTTCAGGAAAAGCCTCTGAGGAAATGGCATTTGAGCTAAGAGTTAACACAAAGAAGGGATTGCTACATAGAATTCTCATAACATGCCTTCTAAGTAGAGTCTTTATCCCCATTTTCGAGATGCTCATCTGCTAAGGTCACAAACCGAGACACAGCTGGGACTGGAACGCAGGTCTGCCTGACTGGCCTAAGGCTTTTCATCACTGTACCCATCTCCCTGCTGTTGGGTCTTTGCTCACTCCAGTCCCTCTGGCTGAAATGCCCTTCTCCCCAGCCCAAGGAATCCCTCCTCTTCCTTTAAAAACTCTCACATCACCTTCTCTGAGATGCCTACCCTGATAACCAAGTAGAAAAGGGCATCTCCCTCCTCTGAGCATCCAGTGCCCTTTGCATTCTCTCATGATACTTACATCTCCTGGTGGAAATAAATGTGTACACGTACACCGTTTCTTTGTTTGGACAGTTTCCATCTAAATGCCTAATGTATCTCACACCATCCTCTACTCTAAACCTCTATAAATCTCTGCTTTCAAAACTTACAGAAAAACAGCTGGCATCGTTTAGTGGGTGAGCATCAACCCATGAACCAGGAGATCACCGTTTGATTCCCAGTCAGGGCACATGCCGGGGTTGTGGGCACGATCCCCGGTAGGGGGTGTGCAGGAGGTAGCCAATCAACGACTCTCTCAACACTGATGTTTCTCTCTCCCTCTGAAATCAGTAAAAACATAAATAAACAAAAAACTCACAGGAAGAATGGAAAGTAAATAAACAAGTGATAAAGTTCAATGGGAGCACCAGATGCCTGAGGGCCTTCCAAGTCTTGCCAGGATTCTAGCAATGAAGTGGGACGCAACTGTCAGGGCTATTACAGAGCAAAGGCCCAAGGAAAGCCAGGAAAATGAGGCAGAACAAGAGATGGTCTTAATGAGACAGCTGAATGCACACTAACCTGCTTTAAGTTGGCTTTTCATAAGCTGTGTCTGGGTTCCCTCCCCACAGTCAAAGAGCCAGCACTCGCCCTCACACCGAAGAACCAGAGCAGAGGCACCCCGGGTTGGGGATGGGTATGCTGCGCCTGTCCCCAGAAACGTCACATCCATAGACATCTTCTACCCTGCAATGGACAGATCACCTAAAGATTATTTCACATCACTGCTCAAAATCACCAAAAATGGGTTCCTAAGAGACTTATTGTTATTTAGGGCAGTGAAACTATTCTTCATGAGACAATAGAGACATGTCGTTATACATTGGTCAAAACCCACAGAATGTACAATACAAAGAGTGAACCCCAATATAAACTTTAGTTAATAATAATGTGTCAATATTGGCTCATCAACTGTAACAAAGACACCAAACTACTGCAAGATGTTAACAATAGGGGGAAAGGGGTAAGGGAGTATATAGGGACTCTGTACTCTCCAAGCATTACTTTTTTTTTTAAGTCCTTCTAGTAAACACTAAACAGCAATAACCACTCTATATGAGGTTCTGAGAAGGAATTTAATTACATTTATTAAGTGGTATGTTTGGTGCCTATTGTGATCAGCCCTTCCTATGAATGATCATAAATACAGCAATGCTCTACAGCAGTGATTTTCAACCAGTGTGTCATGGCACACTGGTGTGCTGCAAGAATTTTTAAAACATGCAATACCTGACTATTTAGTCAGGGGCACTGACCTCTTTTCCCTTAGACTGCCACACAAAAAAGTGACAACAGCTAACACAATAGCTGTCCAGTGTGAATGAATCAAAATTATACCTATTTTTTTGTCAGATCAGCAAAAATATATTTTTTGGTGTGCCACAGAATTTTAATAATTAGTTTATGTGTGCCATGAGATGAAAAAGGTTGAAAATCACTGCTCTACAGCACTACAGTAATGCTGAATGAACGTCTCACTCCTCTAAATGGCAGGGTCCATGACTGGATTTGGGTTGCTGCTATTAAGTGATCAGCAATAACCTGTTGAGTGTGTAGATTTCTGCCAACTCCTGGCATCTTTTTCCTTTTACTGTTTCTGGGCATATCTGCCATCTCTGATATACTTCTGTGATGGGAGATGTGCATCAAATAGGATAAATGAGAATAAACTCAAACTTACAGATAAACAATTATAGATTATCCACACTGAGGGCTGGGAGGAAAATAAAACCAAATCATTTTAAGAAAAAATACTAAGATAAAGTTTGACAGACAGCTGGATAAATATATAAAATTGTCAATAAGTTTCCTCAGTCTTAGCAATAACCAGATAAAAATAGAAATGGGAAAAATCTCATTCACAAAAGAAAAAAAGCACACCTTGTAAAATCACTAGAAATAAAGTTAACAGGAAAGAAACAGGCCCTAAAAGACCCAGATATATATTAGGCTCCTTAATAAGACTTAATATCACACAAATATTCATCTTTTTATAATCAATATATATATTTAATGCAAAATATGTCAGATTTACAGTGAGACTTATCTTGGAACAAAAAACAATCAAAAGATGGAAGAAAAAGCACATGCTGAGAATGGGCAAGAAAATGACATGAAGCAGTGAGTGGTGACTTATGTCTCTAGATACTATGCTTACTATACTAATTGGGTATAATTAAGAGAATAATATTGGCACAAAAAAAATAGAGCTCAAAGAGAAGGAACAGTCTAGAAACCAATCTAGGTATTTATGGGAATCAATATATAAGAAAAGTATAAAAAGGGTGACATTTAATAAACAGCACTGACATAATTGGCTATTTTTACAGAATAAAGCAAAGCAAGATTCTCACTTTGCATTGTGTATAAAAATACATTCTGCCCTGGCCGGTTTGCTCAGTGGTTAGAGCGCTGGCCCTCGGACTGTAGGGTCTCGGGTTCGATTCCTGGTCAAGGACATGTGCTTCGGTTGCAGGTTTGATCCCCGGCCCTGGTCGGGGCAAGTGTGGGAGGCAACCAATTGATGTGTCTCTCACATCAATGTTTCTCCCTCTCTCCCCCTCCTTTCCACTCTCTCTAAAAAGTACATTCCACATGGTTTAGAAATTTAAAAGGTCCAATAAGATAAGTTAAAAATATTAGGAGGACATGTATATAACTTGGGGGTTTGGAAAGCCCTTACGAGCAAGACAGGAAACCCAGAAATTTCCAAAAATAAGACGTTTTCGCTCATAAAAACTTTCATAAAGTCAAAGGACCAAAAAAAGAACACCTGGAGAAAAGTGTTTGTACTGTATGATAAAGAGTTAATGCCCCTAAAAACAAATTCATGCAAATGTATTCAAAATACTAAATAAAAAACACCCCTGATACAATGGAAAAATGGATATATACAGGACATTCACAGAAGAAATCTAAACCGCCAATAAGCATGAAAAGTGCTCAATCTCCAGGGAGTTTGAGGAAATGCAAATTAAAGAAATGAACACCATTTTTCACACATTGGCTGGAAAATATAAATCCTAGCCAGTGCTAACCAGAACAAGAGAAAATGGACACTCCTATGCTACTAGTGGTGGGGGTGTGAATTGCTATCATGTTTTGGGAGAGTAATGTGACAATATATATTACCAATAATAATGCTGCTGCTAACAACACACTAACCCAGCATTCCCATTTTTGGGAATCTACCCTACAGAAATAAAGGATCTATGTACAATGTTTATTGTGGTACACTTAAGGTGGCTAAAATTTGGAAGAAATCTGAAAAAAAAAATAAAAATAGGGAAACAATTGAATATTTTAGTATACATTCATACCATGAACTCGCTGTTGTGCAGCTAAGTCAGGTCTGTAACTCTTGTTCTGGAAGGATGACAGTGAAAAAATTTACAGATGGCTATGGCATGATCTCATTTTTATAATAATATCCAAAACCCCTACATTTATATGAGACAGAGAAAGTCTGGTGTGGAGGATACATACCATATTATTAATATTGGTTATCTTAGGGATAATTAAAATAGTGAGGGGAAGAGATTTTTTTTTTCTTTTAAATCTCTGAATTGTTTTTTGGTTGCAATAAACAGCATGTGATTTAATTTTATTTTATATTTAATTTCTTTTATATTATTTTTAAAAATGTGTCATAAGGCTGAACATGCTTTTCTAACTACAATTCACCTAATCTTTCTTTCCTTTGGGGATACAGTCAGCTCTCCCCATTTTCACCCCTCCTCCCCCAGACACCTTACACATACAAATGGTACATCTCCCCACCCTACATACAAGCCTTTAGGTTCCTGCTAGTGTCCCTTCCATGTGTCACTCGACATTTTCACTTCTGAGATCAAACCTTCCTTTGATAATAAGTAGTTTAATCTGCAGAGGTTTCCTATTGGACTGCAGTTTGCAAGACAGGTTCTTAACAAAAAGAAAGTTAAAAATATTAAAAGCTAATACATGCAGAGGGAGTAACAGAATATAATCACTTGGCAATCCCTAACAAATAATGGCTTTAGGCCAGTGGTATGCAACCCTGGAGCACATCAGAATCAGCTTTTAAAACATATCAATGATTGGGCTCCATCCCAGAACAATTAAGCAGGAAATTCTGCAAGTGAGACATGTGTTTTACTATTTAAAAAAAAAAAATTCTTCCCCTGTGATTCTAATGTGCAGTCAGATTTGAGAACCACTTAGAAGGATAATGGAGAACAGAACTATAATGGATGGATCAGGCTGACTTGAACTCACTAGTCAATCTTTTTAAAAAAACTTTATTATGAAAAAATGTCAAGCATACAAAAGTAGAGATTAGTATACCGTATTGCCACACACCCATCTTGGAGCTTCAATAATGAACTAACTCATGGCCAATTTTATTTCATCTATATCCCCTACCCATCATCCAAGAATACCTGATACGTGTACTGGGCACTTCCATCAGGAAGCACACGCTGTCTGGCTGTCTCTCTTCTTCTGATGTTAACAGCCACTAATGATCATTGCCAGGATCCATTATTTCATTAGGGGTTGCCGAAAGGTGGTATTCTCTCATTCCTTTGGCAGTTATTAGCTGGCATCCTTCTGTAATTCCCTGGTCAATTGGTTACCCTGTGGTGCAATTTATTATTATTTTTTAATGGTCACCTGAGGATATGTTTCTTGATTTTAGAGAGGATCGAACCCACAACCTTTTGGTATACGGGACTATGCTCCATCCAACTGGGCTACCCAGCCCAGGCAACTCTGTGGTGCTATTTGTACAGAAAAATCCATTATTCAGTCTTAACACCACAAAACAGACACGACCTTATCTACCCCAAATGTGATAGCATATGAAGGACAGACACCCTATCAGGTTTTTTTGCCAAAAAGTATAACCTGAATCCTTTAAGGCTGTCCTCTACATACCAGTTTACTCAGACACCACAGGGAGGGAAAAACTTTACAGGACAAATAACTTGATTTCTTTAACAAATAAAGTACAGGGGGAAAAATAAAGAGGGAGGGGATAAAGAGATTAAGAGAGATATAAGAGGTATTTGGATACTGATTTGGAGAAACTGAACTTGGGAGGGAAAGAAGAGAATTGGGGAAATGTAAATACTAACTGGACAGATGATAACAGGAAATGCTTATCAGATTGATAATGCCTTTATGTTTAAAAAAGGAGTTGTGTTTTATAAACACAAACAAGTATTTAACTGATGTAATGGTACATTTAGACTTGCTTTAAATAATCCAGTGGGGGTGAGGGTAATATATAAAACGAGGTCGATCATGAGCTGGGAATTCTGTACTCTATCTTATTTTCGAATATGTTTGAAAGTTTCCATAATTAAAAATTAAAAACCAAGTAATAACAAACCAAATAATCAAAACTCCTCCATTAGGTCGGGAAGTCATCAGAAATTAATTTAATCAATAGCGAATGTTTTGTGACATGTACCATTCATTCTAGGCACTAGGAATTAAAAGTAACCAGACCAGATTTGGTCCCCGTTTTCTAAGAAAAACAAACAAACAAACAAACAAAACAGCCGCTTGCTTTCTCCTGACTACGTTCCGCCCGGAGCGCAGCGCGCCGCAGCGCTGCCGCTCCGGGTCAGTGTTTCTCAGTCCCGGCTGCAAATCACAACCACCTGGTGTTTCTGGGGCCTTCGCATTTGAAAAGCTTCCCAAGTGATTCTAAGCGCTGCCGGGTCGAGAACCAGTCTCCAGGCAGGCAGTGCCCACCCTACGACCCCCGAGGTGCCGGCGGGGCACTGACTGTCATCCTCCATTTTACAGAACGAACCGGGGCCTGGGGAGACGGGGTGGGCGGCCAAGGCAGAGCCAGGGCCAGCGGCCAGGTCTCCGGCCACTAGCGAGCCCAGGCTCTCTTCCAACTCAAGTGTCCCAAAA